CCACCACACCCGGCTAATTTTTGTATTTTTAGTAGAGACGGGGTTTTGCCATGTTGGCCAGGCTGGTCTCGAACTCCTGACCTCAGGTGATCCACCTGCCCCCGCGTCCCAAAGTGCTGGGATTACAGGCGTGAGCCAACGCACCTGGCCTGGGAACACTTCTTACCTTCTCTGTCCAGTAGAGCTGGAGACCTCAGCCTACTTTAGGTCTTGTTATCAAGAGATCCTAGTAAGGGTCAGTCATGAGCTGGCAGTAAGGACTGCTCTAGGGACACGGACACGTAGAACTCTGTGGTGGCCCTGCAGCTCCAGGATGTCCATGTCTCCAGTTTGATGCCGCAGGGCAGTGGCTCCCCTAAAGGACCGAAGAGCTCGAGCCTGCCCCACAGAACTTCAGCCTCAGCTCCAGGTAGGACCAAGATGCAGGGACATTGGTCTGAAATTAGCCGGCATCAGCCAGCCAGGGCGCAGGGTGTCCAGAGAGCCTCTGGGCCTGGGTGGACTTGAAACATCCCTGGGTCACCCCAGGGGACCTGGCTGGCGTGGATGAAGCGCTGGGCAGCTGCCAAGTGTCGCTTCCCTCCTGGCCTCTAATCTCAGATGACTGGAAAACAAGGTCCTTCCACGTCAAACGAGAGCTCACTGGGCCTGGTGTGCATGCATGGGTATAAGGGGAATCGCGTTTCCTGGTTCTAGGCCTCGCTGACTGCACAGCCTCCAGGCCGGGAGCTTCCTCCGGGAAGAGGCCCAGATGCTGGCCCTTCAGCGACTGCTCTCGAGGCTGAAGGACGCCCCAGAGGTACACCTGGCGAGGCCGCGTGCTGAATCTCAGACCTCAAATGGAGCCTTCTTTGCCTGACAGCCTATAGCCTGAACTTAGCCTGAGTCTGCACAGGCTTCTAGAACTTTCCTGCAGAGTCTTGTGCAGACAGCCCGGGCTCAGTGTGTTCCCATCCTCGCTTCCTCCCTCTTGGAGGTGGTGCTGGTAAACTCGGCCCGAGGAGCAGAGAAAGGGGCAGGAGAAAACAAATCATGAAGAGTCGGAGGCAAAAGGGCCTGTGGTTTGGAGTGGCAGGAGGAGGAGGCGGGAGTGTGGATGGCCACGTGTGTCCTTTACGGGGGAGGATGAGCCTTAGATTCTCCAGCCAGGGTCTCTCGAGAGCCCTTTAGCAGAGCGGCCTTGGTTGTGTTCATCAGGGAAAGACCTGAAGCGAGGAAGTAACTTTGCTTTTCCAAATGACTTCAGAACCCCTTTCCATAAAGATGGGCTTTCTTCACGAAAGCTAGTTCACAAGCTTTTAATACCTTTTTATGATTATTAAGTGACATTCAATATTAAAAATTTAGAAAATACATTTATGACTGGAAGAATGTTCTTAAAGCTTCTTAATTTTTATTTTCCCAATGGGCCTCCTTGACTTCTAGAAAGACCCAGTATTTACCAGGGACTGTCTGCGTGGGGGCTTGTTTTCCAGTTGAAATTATTTCTAAAGGGGCGAAAAAGGCTTATCCCCTCTACCGTGGGTCTTCAGGTAACTATGGAAGATGGGAACAAGACTCTCCACAGGCCAAGTGGTTAGACAATTAGACCAATCCAGACAGTCAGAGCAAAGTGCCTGGGTTGTGGGCATGGGGAGGTTAGTCAGAGAAACTGCTGGATGCTCCAGGACTCAGAACCAAATACCTGCATTTATACAAAGGTTTCCTCTGAATATACATCATCAGCCCCAGGCCCCTGTGAAGAAGGGCAGGGGTCTGGGACACTCAGTGCCCTGCCTCGAAGAGGCCTCAGGTCTGAGCCCCAAGTTCCTAACGTGCCAGCAGCAGCCGCGTCACCCAATCGCCCTGTCGCCCGTGCCCTGGCCTTGGCCTGTGCCACCCAAATTCAGAACTAAGATTGAAATCCAAGCGCACCTCCTTGGAACCCTAGCCTGTGGAATCCGAGGCAGGCAGATCAAAGGGACCTGAGAGATCAGAAGCCCTGCCTGCGCCAAACTGAGGACCTCTGTTCCCGTTCTGCAAAAATGCAGACAGTAATGTCCCTGGGCTGCCAGGGAGAGGGAGCCAAGGTGGAGAGTGTGGGAGGGCTTTGTGACCCACGCCGTGTTGTTGCGTTGGAGGCATTGGCGGTACTGCGTGTTTAGGCCACTTCCTGTGGGATAGAAGTTCCTTGCACGAGCTCTGATACTGTCCACACCCCGTATCACTCCTTCTGCCTTAAGGCTCATGTGATTCCTCTATGAGAACCAGCGGACACAGAGGCCAGAGAAACCCGCCATTCCCCTAGGTGACTGCTCTGTCTGTCTGGGTTCATTTGGGGATGGTAGGGACGCCTTGAACAAGGACTCCCTGAACATCGCTTTGGGCGGAGACAGTCATTGTTCCTCTTCAGGCTGTGTTTCTGCTCCAGCACACACACGGGGCAGCTTGCACGCCCAATTTCCTGTCCCTCCTTTCCTTCTCAGGCTGATGCCCAGACCGGTCCTTTCTGGCTCCTCCTCATCAAATACCTCTTCATCCTGATTGAGTGGCGGTGCTGGGCATTGTCCCCAAAGAGCCATTTGTGCCGTGGCCTTCTCCTGGAGGCATATTCCGTCCTCCTGTCTCTGCCTCCGGCCCCATCTCCTGAGCCCAGCGAGCTCAGCGCTGGCTGACTGTTTGTCCTCCTTGCTGCAGACATGGAAGATTTGGGAGCCTTCCTGCTGAGGTTGGTAAGGATACCTGGGGCTGGGGGCGGCCTCTTTGCTCCCCACTTGCTAGGGAGTAGAAACCATTTAAGACATCTGAGCAGCCTCTCCGTGGTTCCTGCTCCTCACTCAGCCCCACAGTAGATCTGGCGGGGAGGTTGAGGGCTCAGTGAAACTGCAGGTGCCGCAGCGGCAGCATCGTGTCGTCAGTGTCCTGCCCGCTCTGCTCCCACCCGCCATCCGTAGCTGCATGGTTCACCCCACACCAGCCTTCCCATCGTTCCTCATCAGCCCCGTGATCTTTCCTGGGGCCCTGCTGTGCTGGTGCCCTTTGAGGTGTTGTGGACACAAGAGACTGCACGGGCCGCACCCCCGGCTGGGGGAGTCTTCTCCCTCCTGGGTCCTCCGAGGAGTAAGAGAGGAGACAGGGACAGTAAAGATGGACGCGTGGGCTCCGTGGAGCATGAGGTGGTCCAGGACCTCGGCGGGCACAGGCTCTGCCTCCCTGCCTCTCGTGCCCTCCCTCCCTTTGGTCTCTGCTCCACCTTGGTAAACACTTCCGTTCCCAGCCCTTGAAGGGTAAATCGAGCTCCTTGGTGGTAAAGCACCCGCTGCCCCTAGTCACAGGGTTCCTCCTCTATGATGTCGCGGTGCCCTGGTCTGCCTGGTAGAATTTTAGCTGGTTTATAATCTGGTCCTGAAATGAACCACTGGGAAGAAATAGGGAAAAGTAAACACACAGCTGCCACACTGCATCCCAACCCCGTGTGACCCCATCACCGCGGGCTTTTGTGGCAAGACGACAGCATCTCAGTTTCCTTGAGAAGCTTATTTTTGCCAAGACTGTTATCACCAGGCAGGCACCAGAGCTCCGTTCCACTCACAGGCCAGTCACAGCAAAACACAAGCAGTGAACCTGTGGATTCCCCTGAAGAATGTCCAAAGGGAACGTTTCCCCGCCTCGGCATTCTGTGATATGTGAGACCTTGAGGAAGGTTCCTCTGTTCCCAGACGCGGAGCAATGTGCTGGTGCTGAGAAGTGGCTCAGGGCCACGGGCAGGGCCTCTGGTTTTATTCCCCTGTGCCTTCTGCTTCATCACGCGGATCCTATCCTGGGATTGGGTGGGGCACTCTGTCTGCGGGGGACTGGTGCGGTAGCATCTCCAGGCTGGAAGGCAGAGTTGGTTCTGCCATGATGCGTTCCCCCCCGTGAGGACCCACTCCCACGCCTGTCCCTGCCACGGTGGGCCTCCCGATGCTCCTCCTTCCTCCAGGTCACAGGCACGATTGCTGTGGCCCCTTCTCTGTGGGGGTGGGCTTGATGCCGCTCCCCTCCGTCTGCACACCCCTTGCAGCACACACAAGGCTTTGATATTAAGGAGGCTGGAGGACAGGGCGATGCTTTAACCCTGGCACTCACAGGGAGGTGTCTAGGCCTTTCTTTTCTCCTGCCGATGGAAGCGTTGGGGTAGAGAACCTAGAAGAGGCTAACACTCCCTGAACAGTGAACCTAGATTGGTTTCTAAATCTGCTGAGAGAAAAATTGAAGTGACATTCCTTCTAAAGTAGACATCATCCTACTTGGCTCTTCTACAGCTGTCTTTCACCCTAACCCAGGGTGTGTCCTGGGCTGTCACAGGCCTCCCCAGCTCCTGCCTAGCCTTTCTGAAGTGCCAGGCTTGGGGCTCAATGAATGAGCCTTGTTGTAAAGCAGAAAACAGTTCAGTTGCAGTCTGGGTTCGGCTGCCTGCGTCTTGACTAGATGTCTATTCAGGATTGCGTCCCCTGCTTCTCTCTCCCTTCTCCTTCTCAAGATCACAGATGAAGACAAGGGGGTGGAAAGTTCTACCTACATTGCTGCTATCTTAAGAATGTGGACTTTGGAGCCAGATTGTCTGGGTTTAGTCCCTGCGTCTGCTGCTTACTAGGTGTGTGACTTTGGGCAAATACCTTGACACCTCTGTGCGTCGGTTTTCTTGGCTGTGAAATGATGTATCATCTCAGCGCGCCCATCCCTTGGGGCTGTGTGGGGAGTAAGTAAGCCGGTCTAGTATGGCGCCTGGTACATCCTCAGTCAATACCAATGTTGGCTGTGGTGAGGACGTAGCAGAGGATGGTAGAAAGAATCTAGGGCTTGGGGTCCAGAGCCCTGGGTTCAGGTCCCAGCTCTACCACGTGCTGGTGTAGTGATGTGGATCCTGCACCCCAGAATGTTGCAGTGTTTGCATGCAGGCTGGCTGTGAAGACTCAGGGCAGCAGCCGCCAGGCTGGTCCCCCTGCACACCGGGCTAACTCTGTCCTCTCTCTCCACAGGCACACGTTCTGGCAGTTCCGCCATGAGAACCCCCAGACCAAGGTTGGGGGCCCACCCCCCGAGGGGCTGCCGGGCTTCAACAGCGGGGTGATGCTGCTGAACCTGGAGGCCATGCGCCAGTCCCCGCTCTACAGCCGCCTGCTGGAGCCGGCGCAGGTGCAGCAGCTGGCCGACAAGTACCACTTCCGCGGCCACCTCGGGGACCAGGACTTCTTCACCATGATTGGCATGGAGCACCCCAGGCTCTTCCATGTGCTGGACTGTACCTGGAACCGGCAGCTGTGCACCTGGTGGAGGGACCATGGCTACAGTGACGTCTTCGAGGCCTATTTCCGGTGTGAAGGCCACGTCAAGATCTACCATGGGAACTGCAACACTCCCATCCCGGAGGACTAGGCGCACCCCCGCCTTGCCCCTGGGGCCTCCAGATCTGGGGGAAGGACAGGGCTCCAGACAGACCTGAGAGCAGTGTCTGACCCGCTAGAGAGACACTGCAGGGACGTCCTGTGATTAAGGTGCTGAGACCTCCTGCCGGGCAGGTCACTGTGCTAAGGCCACCCGCCGAGGACTGGCCTGTGCACTGCTGGTGCTTGGGGCCTTATTCCTTCAGGGAGCAGGTGACATGAAGGACACGCATGGGCATCTTCCGGTGGGCTAGGAAGCAAGCGCTTGAAGAGAAGGAAGGGGAGAAGGGGGTCCCCTTGCCGTCCGCCTCTAAGGAATGGAAATCCTTTAAGACCTGGCCTCTTCTGGACCAATATAAATTTAATTTAAATTGACAGGCTTCCATTGTTCGAGAAAGGACAAACAGTCCTGCTCTAGCACCCATCGAGCCCCCAATGGGTAAAGTAAGCCAAGGTTTTAATGACCAACCCAGTATCTAAGCTTCCAAACGAATGCCCGCCTAGCGCATACTCACCCTGGGAGGCTGCGCGCGTATTCTCCTGACGACCACGTCACTTGGTGTACGTTTCAAGATCGCCTCTTTGGGGAAGGACTTGAGGACCCACTGGGCCTGCATAAGAAAACTTAGCTCATTATTAGAGCACTCACGGCTGTTATCTCCCAGCTACATCCCAGAACCCCATTATCCTTTATTTAACCAAACCAGCTCCAGGTGACCAGACTCTACTCAGAAAGCAAATTCATCCTCAAAGAACAGAGACTGGCCACCACAAGGACATGCAGGAGACTGTCTGGACCGGGAAGACTCATTCCAAAAAGGAGCCCAGGCCGGGCACAGTGGTCAAGCCTGTAATCCCAACAGTTTGGGAGACTGAGGTGGGAGGATCGCGTGAGCCGCGGAGGTCGAGATCAGCCTGGGAAACACAGTGAGGCCCCCATCGCTACAAAGAATTTTAAAAATTAGCCAGGTTTGGTAGCTTGTGCTTGTTGTCCTGGCTACTTGGGAGGCTGAGGTGGGAGGGTGGCTTGAGTCCAGAAGTTCACTGCACGGATCTGTAATCACACCACTGCACTCCAGCCTGGACGACAGAGTGAGACGTCCGTCTCAAAAAAGCAAAAAACGAAAAGGAACCCAGCAGTTCACAAGTGTGACCATGTGGGCTTGGAAGAGACATCACTCGTGGGCTAGTAAGCATTCTAGTTTATTTGTTTAAAAATTCCCCTTATCATACCACGTTAGACCATAGACCTTAGCAGAAATTAAAGCCTCGTTTCTTCTGATGGGTCCTCCTGTAAGTAGGCTGCAGACGTGAAAGCCCCAGGGGTCCATTTGTGTCATCTAGCTGAGGTCCTTGGAGAAATGCTATGGAATTTTCATCTTGTGTTGTTTCAATTTCATTTACCTTTTTCTATCTTTTTCTCATGAGTGAGGATAGCTAATAAATAATCTTTGAGAACATGGTGATTCATGTTGTTTGTTCTCTGATCACAGTTTTCAGCTGCATGTAGGCTCTGATTCAAGTGTGTAATCAGTGCCATTCAGCTCCCCCCGCCTCCTGTGATGAAGGTGAGCCTCCTGTGATGAAGGTGAGTGCCTACAGGAGATCCCTGAGGACCAAGGAGAAGGCACATCTGAGAGGGTATCAGAGAGTGTACTATTGGCATGTTTGCTTCAAACCAAAGAATCATTTCATTCTAGGTATTGGCAGGTCCACCTGCACCTGGGAGCAAAAGCATCCCTATTTCTTCTCATCCCTCTTACCCCAGACTGCCCAGTTACATCCTTCCCCGAAGAGGAACAGCAGATTTCTCTCCCAGCCCTCTGCTAGGACAGAATTGGTCTGTTCTCTCACCTACTTGATTTCCTATTTATAGTTAACAATTATTGAATGCCTGCTGCGCACCAGCCATTGTATTGGGGGATCTATTATGCTATTGATAATATTCATGAAAACTTCATGAAGGTCATTATGTCTAAAGCCGATTGTAAGAAAATGTGAGAGATGTGGACAGAGTCATATACTATATGTTTATCACAACATTTTTTATAGTAGAAGAACATTGGAAGCAACTTAAAATGTGGAAGAGGGGCTGGGCGTGGTGGCTCACACATGTAATCCCGGCACATTGGGGATCTGAGGCCAGCAGATCTCTTGAGCCCAGGAGTTTAAGACCAGCCTGGGCAACATGGCAAAACCCTGTCTCTACAAAGATACAAAAATTAGCTGGGCATGGTGGTGCACACCGAGCTACTCAGGAGGCTGAGCTGGGAGGATCACTTGAACCCAGGAGGCAGAGGCTGCAGTGGGCTGAGATCACGCCACTACACTCCAACCTGGGCAACAGAGCAAGACTGTCTTAAAAAAAAAAGTGGAATAGGGAAGTAGATGAATAATGTATGCTTCATCCGTATAATGGAATACTTTAGGCATTATTTAAAGAATATGTAATGCCTCAGGAAATGCTTATAATGTGGTATTAAATAAAGAATGCAAAATGTAAGATTATATGTTTAATATGATCTTAATTTTATTTTTTAAATTACATATATAAATGTGTATGTATATCAATGTACACACATATATGTATGTATAGATGTATACCTACACACACGTATGTATAAAGAGAGAGTCTATTCTGCTACATTTCAACTTCTAAAAACAGGTGTTTCAAACGCCACATTAAAAAAAACAATTATTTCAATGGGAAAAAAGTGAGCTAAAGGTTAAAGAATTTTAGACTCACAATAATAAAGATATTTTTCCTGCGATCATTTTCATGATTAAACTGTTTCTATAGCTATGTGTGTATTTTGTTATTGCAAGAAAAATAAGCTGCTTGGTCAAAATGGGCAAAAGCCAAACAACATCCTTCATTTGCTTTTGAGTTCACCTTCCAGGAGCTTCCCTCATCACCAGTGGCCTTGACCTTCCAACCCCACAGTGCACAACGGACTGTCACTCCACAGGCCCCCCGGCCCGCCAACAGAGCGCTCCACAGGCCCCCCAGCCCGCCGACAGAGCGCTCCACAGGCCCCCCGGCCCGCCGACAGAGCACTGCACAGGCCCCCCGGCCCGCCGACAGAGCAGCCGGGGCTTGCCGTGCCTCGCCATTGCCGTGCTTGACAGGTCGTGGAGTGCCGGCTCCTGACTGGGGTCCTGTTACAGTCACTGCCTTGCAAGCCTAGTGCCTTACGCTGTGCTTAACCTGCGCCATGGAAACCCACTCTTGGGAATATGCCTGTACGTATGAGGAGAACAGAAATCTGAAAAGGTAATATTTCTAGGCACTAGGATTAAGGTGCTTTTTATTTTCATCTATATTTCTGTATTTTCCACATTGAATATTACTTTTATAATAAGATAATAAATGCTATACATTTTTAGCCACATCCCTTCTCCCCAGTTGCAGGTGAGTGTCAGCCTGGCCAGCTTGCAGCTCCTGGCTGGCCAGGGCGGATGTCACCCGTAAGAACACATAATCCAGGCTGAGTCGCCTCTGGGTCTTCAACTTTGCCTGTGGATGCCCCAGTTCTCCAAATAAAAGCGATCTAATAATAGCAGCTCCAGACCCTGCTTTCATTTCTCAGCTACTGTCATCTTCTGTATACACACAAAGTCCACCTTACAAGTGATGATGGCGCAGTCTTGTTGAGATTTGTTCTTCTATGTATGTCAAACCAAACAGACTGCAGCCTCTCCGTCAGCAGCGTTTCATCAAGTCAAAGCCTGACGTGTTGGTTCACAGCCCCAGCCTAGAGCACACCAGGAGTTTGTAGGTTAAGGTAGTAAGTGCAGCTGTGACTTGGCACCTGCTTTGACTAGAGGCCAAACCTCTGCTAATTTTAACACTTCCTGGCTGGTCTTAATATGGGAGGCCCAGGGGCTGGGCTAAATCTGGAGGTTGGCAGGGAGCAGAAATTTCCAAGCACGCAGGTGGTGTAGTGGAGACAGCCTCACACCGGAGACAGAGGCCTGGCTTGGAGTCCACATCCTGCCGTCACTACCTGGCCATCTTGGACAGGCAAGGCCACCTCTTTCCCTACTTCTAGACACTGGTAAGAGCTCCTTAAAGGAGTGCGGAAGGAGGAAAAGATGTGTAAGGGCTTGGTAAGCTGTGAAATGATACAGATGTAAGGGAATTCTAACCATTATTACTTAGAATATTCTTTTTAAATAATAAATTACAGCCATTTGGGGGCTCATGAAATGTGTTAGTAGCATCTCCGTAACCCCATGGATGAACAGGTGCATGCTTGTAAGCTGTCCAATTTTAGCTGCGCCATCCACAGAAGCCAGTAGGTCGGGGGCTACCTCAGCTCACAGTGAACCTGTCAGGAGTCCACGGGTAACTTGCTGGGTGTGTCCAGGAGGTGGGGGCAGGGCTGCCTCAGCTCAAAGCTAACCTGTCACGAGTCCTCGGATAAACCTTTTCTGGGCCTCAGTTTCTTCATCTGTAAAAACAAGGAGCTAAGGGATTGAACCAGATCCCTGGGCAGTATCCCTGCCCCCAGCTGTTTGGGGAAACACATGTTTCAAATGCATCCATTGGGGTTCACAGGTGGGTATAGAAGAGAGTTCAGATCAGATGTGAAACTGCCAGACCTCAATTCATCATTCACCCACTTAGGATTCATGACATAACCATGCAGACTAAAACTCTCTCAAAATACACGTTACAAGCTTCCCTCCTCCCGCATTCTCCATAGACACAGTGAGGGATGCAGACCAACCCTGGAGGCGCACTTAAAATCCAGAGAGAATCAGCCGTCCCCCGGGAGCCCTCGCCTCCCTGCTTATGATCCATTGACAGCTGTGCCTGCTAACATCTTGTTCCGTTCAGCTATGTGACCACCTTCCAAAGGGTCCTCCCAGCAGAAAGTCCCATGTCCCACCAATCTCACCTTGGGAAGTGCCCAGTCTTCAGCCGGGGAGACAAGGTTGAGCTGCCCTGCAGGGCATGTTGAGCGGACTAGCCAGCCACTCCCCAAGGAGCTTGCAAAGAACAAAACACCTTCTAGAATGAAGGGAAAGCCAGTTTAATTGAGGCTGGCTCAGCTCAGAGCATCTCCACTGGCACCCCCATTCTGAGGGGGAAGCGGTGTCCCACCACGCAGACACACTCAGCAGCCTCGCTGAAGGCCACTCATCCGTGGAGCCTCAGAGCGGAGGGGCCTTTGCACATCTCCAAAGCCGGCTGCCCTCGTCTCCAGCCTCCCTTCCTGAAATGCAGGGCTTTGCTCCAGCCCGCACCTCAGCTGCCTGCCCGCTGCCGCTCCGGCCTGTGCGGGACCACGTGAGCATGGAGCCTGCGGACCTCCCCAGCCGCCTCATGGAGCAAGACAAGTTTCCCCTCACTTCAGGACCCACGCTCGCCACTGTGTTCTGTAGGGGCCTCTCGCTTCATTTTTCTTTCCCTTTTATTCCCACAGTCCTCTCCCATCCCCCAAGCAGACAACCATTCCAACGGGCTCACTGTGCACTGATGGATACCTGTGGAGCCTGGGACCACACGCCCACCCCAGTAACTCTGCGTGAGCATCCCTGTCCTTGTTCCTTACAGACCCGATGAGAATTCATGTTGCATATCCAGGAACAAAACCTCCAGATCATAAGCTATGCAGATACTTCATTTTTGACTAAGTGGTGCAAGCTACTCCCCCGAGACTTGGCCCCCACCCCTACGGTCACCGGCATGAGCCCCCACTTTCTCTCCACCACGGTGCTCTTGTTCACGTGTCTCCTTGCATTGACACGTTGTGATCCAAGATACACTGGAGCCCTCCAGCGCGTGTGGCCCGCGTCAGAGCTGCCTCCGCATGAGTGGCATACGCCGCTGTGGAAGGAGGCTGGACAGGGAGGCAGGGGCCCTGGCTTCTGGCCTGTCCTCACCGCATGACTGCGGCCAGCGGGCGCACCTCTGTGAGCGGGGAAAATTTAACCAGCTCCTGATCTGGCCACCTTCCCAAGACTGCTGTGAGTAGCAGGTGAGATAACTCATAGCAAAGAATTTTCGAGTCCCTAGACATACCTCCCTCCCTCACACCCCAGCCTGACCCGGTGCCACAGGGAGCTGCCAGGGCAGACACGGCCATGGCTGAGCTTCCTCAGAGCCCTGTGGTGTGCTGAAGTCCTGCCAGGGGAGTGCCATGGCCATCCGACCCCACTCACGAGCCGTCTCATGGATGGAGCCTGGCATTCGTCCATTAAGCCTCGACCAATCCCACACAGAGCCCCAGAGCTAGGGTGGCCGTGGGGTGAAGGCCAGGAGTGGGGCCTTCAACCCTCACCCATCCCGTCACTGGGCACCGCCACCTT